TCCAGCCTCAACAATTCTGTGATTATATTAAAAAAAAACAAAAAAACCCCACCCCAAAACATTTGGATTTTCAGGAATAAAACACCACCACAGTGAAACAGCAAGAGAGTCTTGACCTTACAAAGAACGAACATACGCCTGTTGCAACAGGGAGGAATGTAGAAAGTGTACGTGTTCAACGTGAGAACAGTTTCCAGGAAAACTGGAGTGTTTTTTTTTTTGGCAAGTCAAAACAAAAGCGCAACTGACTTCCAGATGAGGGTGTGGTGCTGGAAGATAAAATGCGATGTGCCAGACAATTTAGATCATTCCACTGAAGCACATCCCAACCGCAGAACCTGCTACTAGCCTGCTGACAAAAGGTTAGTTTTGTTTTAATATTTACTGCTCTGAAAAATATTAAGTGCAATATACTTAGTTTCATAGAGCTAGGATTTACTCTTAGTTAGGTTGGCTTTGCAAAGAGACATCATTTCACTAAAGCACAGGCTTATCTCCAGGCTTAAAATTAGATTTCTTGAGTAGAAAAACAAGCCTGCTCAATTTATTAAAAAACTCTGTCTAAACTGGAGATATTAACATGTAATTGTTGAACATGTAATCATACCATCACCTGCCAAGTTTAAAGACACAGGAACACTGAATATGTATCTAAACTGAAAGCTGGAATATTTCTGCAAGAAAATACAGAAAGCTATCTGTTAGTTTACCTATTAATACACCTCCTAGAAGATGGGACTTGAGAAGCCAGCCAAAGCTCTGCCCTGCCAGGGCACTCTCCTTCCCTAAGGGACAAGACTCCTCCCTGTGCACAACACCTGGAGAAGCCTCCAGCTGTCTGAGGCAGTGCCCACAGCCAGCCAGTTCTGTCAGACACCTTTCAGATAAGCTGTCTACCAGGAAAAAAACGTTACTGACTGATCTCATATTTAGGGGTGCAGTTCAGTTAAACAGAGAGAAATGAAAAATTTCTATTTTTGCTTGATTTTTTTTTATAGTGAATCTGCTCTCTAAAAAAATGTTAAACATAGGTTAGTTGGAAATTAACTGTTTCCTCTGGCTTCATCCTTAATGGCTTTGGATTATTTTGTTAATATTTTGACAATGATTAGTCTCATTTTAAGTCTTACGATTGTCATTTACTGTTGCCAGAATATCAGATAAAAATCTCCTTTAAGTTACACTGGCCTCACATTCTGAAGCACTGCAGATGACGAGAAAAAGGGATGAGTTTTTCATTCTCAGTTACTTTTTGCTACTGCTGTTAGGAAAACAATCCTATTTACTTAAAGAAAACAGGGCACTGCAGGACAGTAGTTTATAACAGGAACAATTTCAGCCAATTAGTCGATGGACGCAATTTCCAGGAAAGGAATAAAATACCATGACTGCAGGCACAGAATATGACTGCTTCCCTCTCAGCAGTAAAATGTGAGTATTCCTTACCTGCCCTGTCCTACCAGCACTGACAGCCTTTGTGTTCCTCTGCAGGGGCTGTAGACAAGAAGGTGTCATTTCAACCCTATAAAAGTACAAATCCATTTTCTTAAAGGAACATTTTAAAACATAACTGAGAATAGTTAACTAGCTGATATGTGAGGTGCACTCCAACCATCTTGCAATCTCAAAGGCTAAGACTAATGAGAGCATTTCAACCAAACCGCTTGCACTTCGCATTGCACAGACAGATGCAGGCAGCTGTCCTATCTCAAATTCTCACATGAGATAGTCTGTTCTGCCTCCCCACCACTGTCAAGCTCTACTTGATTATTTACAAATGCATTCTCAGTATCCAACTTATTTAAATTTGAGATTTATAAACAACCCTGAGTTCTTGGTTTAGGTTTCAACAGCTATTTTAAAACTTGAAAGCAGTATTATTTCTTCGGCGTTTCCTTCCCCTCCCTTTTATTGTGTATTGTAGCTTCGCCATGGGCTGGTATACAAATAACTCGACTGATTACTGGATTGAGGATGAGGAGGATGATCTCAGCTCCGTTATAGACTACAATACGTATGAGCTTCTCTGTGAAAAAGGTGATGTGAGAAATTTCAGTAAATTATTCCTCTCTGTGTTCTATGCATTGGCTTTCACTGTTGGAGTTGCTGGGAACTCATTAGTGGTTGCAATTTATGCCTACTGCAAGAAACCAAAGACCAAGACAGATGTGTACATCATGCACCTGGCCATCGCTGACCTGCTCCTGCTCTTCACGCTCCCTTTTTGGGCTGCAAATGCTGTGCAGGGATGGGAACTTGGAAACCCCCTGTGTAAGCTCACTTCTTCGCTGTACACCACGAATTTCAGCTCCAGCATGCTGTTCCTGGCCTGCATCAGTGTGGATAGATACCAGGCCACTGCCAAACCCCAAGGTCACAGAGGAAGTGGTGCGCGCTGCAGCATCACCTGCCTCTGCGTCTGGCTCTCTGCTGCTCTCCTCAGCATCCCTGCACTGGTATTTAACCAAGTCCAGAAACGGAACAACAGGAACGAATGCCTTCCTGTATTTCCAGCCAACATGGAAATATTCTTGAAAGCAACCATTCAAATCCTGGAAGTTACCCTGGAATTTCTGCTTCCTTTCCTAGTAATGCTGATCTGCTACTCAGCCACTGCTCGAGTCATCTTTAGAGCTGCCAACGCCAGGAAATCCAGACCCTTCCTGGTTCTGCTGGCGGTGGTGGCTGCTTTCATCCTTACCCAGCTACCTTACAACACCGTTAAGTTCTGGCGAGCCCTGGACATCATCTACGGGTTGATCACTGACTGCGATGCAAGTAAAACTATAGATGTAGCACTCCAGGTCACCAAGAGCATTGCTTTGTTCCACACCTGCCTGAATCCACTTCTCTATGCATTTCTGGGCACCTCTTTTAAAATGCATATTACGAAAATCGCAAAAAATTACGGGTACTGGAGAAGACAACAACAGAATGGAAGACCTGAAGAAATGTCTATGAATTATGAGGATCATACTGAAGAAACAGTTAGTTTCACTCTATAGACTCTCCATTACTTTGATTATCTCATATAACCAAGGGAATTATATGCTAATTTGGGGGTATTGTTTCAGCAGCTGTTTCTCTACAAGTCAACTTCCAGATGAATTTCTGAGCCTGCGCACTAGTCAAGACACTACAGCGCAATCTGAAGTGGAACATCAAAATTAAGCATCAGGCAAGAAATAAGTACTGGAATTCCTAGAAACAACTAGAGATTTTTAGTAAAAAATTCAAATCCCTAAAAATCCACAACAAAATGTAACCACCTAAGAACCCCTAAGATTTAATTTTAAAATTGTTACAGTACTATGCAATTAAGTAGCTACATAATAAACAACCTGCACATGTCTAAACACCTAATTAAAAGAGAAAGAGAAATCATCAGCAATAAAATAGCAGAACAGGAGCTTTTGAACCAGAAGTTAGTAATCTTGTTTCTCCAACAAAATAGTTTCTCCAACTATTTTGTAAAACTTGTTATATGTTTGTAAAACCATCTGCCTAATAAGTGGGCTCTGTTTTTTCCTCAGCTATCATTCCACACATTCCCTTGCAGCTTAAAGTAAGGTCTAAGTTCATGGCTGAGAACTCAGGGCAGGGGAAAGCCATTCGCTGTGTGTTTTCACATATGTACAGCAAAAACATCTTCCACAAAATCAGTAACGACTCCTCTGTAACTACCAAAAATGACCTTCCACCTCTCCTTTCCTGCTTCCCCTGAAGTGCAATAAGCCCAGTGCCCTAGAGGAGTCACATTCTTGACCTCTGTAAAAGCCAAAGTAGCACAGTCAAAGCATTAGCAGGAACCTAAAGGATAAGTTAATCCTCAGACACAAATTCTGATTAGAAATTCCAGGCCCTCTACAATGAGCCAAACACCGCAATAACTGTATCTGCTAAAATATATAATACAATAAAAGAATGCAAAAAGTGTCATGGTTTTCGTTTATACATATCTTTGTTTTTAGTCAACACTGACATCTCTCATCTCAGGCATATAGAAGCAGCAAAGGCGAGAGGCCTTGTTTGATGCACACTAGAGGTTTTGGCTCCACAGGGAGCTCCCGGTTGGTGGGATTTTGCTTGTCTGCAGAGAGGCACCAAAGCTGTCCCCTGCCACAGCACCGGCAAGGATTTCAAGTCTCTGGAAGCATTCCAAGTATACTGACCTATTAGCTCTCAAAATGAAAAAAGCAATATTACAGCATCCTGTTCCTGCTCTCAGACACTCTGCTTGGGTGACAAAAGCTTAGAGAATTTCTGCCCAGCATTTTGAGCAATACTGGAGTGTGATGAGAGAAGTCGGAAGTGCTTGACAGATGGTACGCATACACCATAAATTTGACACAGTAAATCTGGCACAGCTTAAATAAAAGACATGCAAAGCAACCATGCAAAACATGATAAGAAACTCCAGTTCTTCCACAGAGCAACCAACTCCTTGCATGTGCAATTTAGGACCCATCTTCACAAATACAGACTGGTTACACCTGGGGTGACTTCTGGCCAGGCTATCAGGCTTCTGGAATTCCCAAACATCCAAAGTCCTAATGTCCCACCCAGATTTAAAAAAAAAACAAACAAAAAACAACAACAACAACAAAAAAGAAAAACACACCAATGCCTTTTCTCAAAAACACACGAAAAACCAGACAGAATAGAGCTGCATGTGTGTGTTTCCCAAACTTCTTGAAATTACAGCACCTTTTACATATCTGTCTTTATCCAGGTCTGACTATTCTAATAACTTTTACTAGAAGACAAACCAACATACAATCTCTTACATTTACTCTCCTAATTCACACAACTAATTCTATGAATAATATTTAGTGTGTGGAACCTCCTACAAACCTCCCCATTGCCTCCTTAGGAACTGCCACACATAGGTGGGAGACACTTACCCTGAGCAAAGGCAGCTGCCAGCAGCAAGCAGCCCCTTAGGTCCAGAAACCAGAGATGTCTCCTTCTCCCCAGTTGTGAAGTTCTAGCAAAGCAAGGGAGCCCTCCCCTCCACAGCAAGACTAGTGTAGTTCGGTTTAAAAAAAAAAAAAGGTACTCTTTTTATGGGGGACATCTACCACTTAAGAGTATAATCCACTGATTAATAAAGAAGTCACCTATAACAGTCCAAAAGCATCACAGGCCAGTTTAAAAAGCAGCCAAATTTTACTGGAACTATACAGCATACTCAAACCTCACACACAAGCTGCCAAAGACAGCTTCATAAAAACAGAGTTTAAAGGCTACAGCCACAAACATGCAAGTGGCCCAACAGAAAGAGGTAGCAGAGAACAGCAGCAGCATTCATTCTCTAAATTCAGTTCAGAGGTTCCAAAAAGGGCACAAAACACCAGACTGAATTTGAGTATTCGACTTTTCTTGAGTAAAGGGAGTAGAATGTAAAACAGAAAGAGCTGAACCAAGTTTTTTCTATGAAGCAAACACTTTGCATCGCAAAAGTGGAGCATAAGATTTGTTTTATCAGTTCTTAGAATTCTAGACTCAGCCATTCTTATTTAGTTTCCGTACTTACCGCTGCTCCACCACTTCTTGCCATTGATCACATAACTGTTTCCATCTCGCTCGATGCTGCATTGCATATTGGTGGCATCACTTGAAGCCACATCAGGTTCTATGTTAAAGAAAAAACAAAACCCAAACCAATGGGTTAAATATACAGGTAGTTCTACCTCCACAAATGAAAGGATTTACCCATACTCTATTGACAGCAACACTGTTTCACTCCCAGTAGACAAGCTGTTTCCAGAACCTCGCTCTGCTGGTGGTGAAAGGCTTTCCATTTTCCAACCCCCTGTCAGAGCCTGTTCAAATTCACTTGTTTAAGCCTACTTGCTCAGATCACCCTTCACCATCAGCAGCCTTCTTCCTTCAGGGTGTTTTTCAATCTTTCCGCTTCCAATGCACTTACAGCCAACAGTTACACCTCTCCTCAACAATTCCCCCCCCGCCCCAGCTCTTAAGTGAGAATAAAGAGATTAAAACTATTTAGGTAATGGTTTATTAAACAGATTACACAAAATTGCCATGAAGATGTCACCAATGATCGTTTGGAACGGGAAAGATACTTCCTCTCTCCTTTCACCCTCAATTTCTTCTACAGGCCATCTTTAAAGCAAAAGTATCTCCTCCTGGGGAACACAGGGAAAGATAATCTGCAAAACAAGGGTAGAGTTCTGCACGGCTGAGTTCCCTCAACTCCTGCTGTGTTTTGCCAATTATATAACCACAGAATAGTTTTGGTTGGAAGAGTCCTTCAAGATTGAGTCCAACCTTTGTCCTAGCCCTAACAACACCACTAACCATGTCCCTCAGCACAACATCTACCTGTCAAACACCTTCAGAGATGGCGACTCAACCACCTCCCTGGGCAGCGTGGTCCAATTCCTGACAACTCTCTTGGTAAAGAAGTTCCTTCCTAATATTCAACCTGAGCCTCCCCTGGCACAACTTACCAACCCCTGCCTTGCTACAACCTCCCTTTAGGTAGTTCTAGAGATCAATAATGGAAGCCACAAAAAAGACACAGACACCAACAAAAGACAAGGAGACTTATTTCACTGTCTATTTCAAGGTGTTACAAAAATAAGGCAGTGCATTTAGTTAAAACAATAAGCTTGCTACACTCAAGTTTTAAGCAGCAAGGTGAATAAGCAGGGTAATGCACCTAATCGTTACTGCCTAAGGTTAGCGACAGTGATTAAGAAAGATCCATCCCCAATCGCCCTAATACTTGAGCCTCATCCAGACCCGCAGTCGCTGGGGAGCCCCAGTTGCAGCGAGGATTTGGAGCACCTCTCCCAGCAACTGGGAGGCCCTACACAGTGCGTCCACTCGTAGGGGAGAGTCCAGCGTTTATACTCTTGAATAAACAAGCCTGCATCGCTTCAGATGCAGGAACATCTGATGGCACCCTCTTGGTTGGATTCCACCCAAAGTCTGGCCAGGGCTAAAGGAGGAATCCAAGGGAGTTTCTCTACCTGTGCTGGTCCAAGGAAGTTTTTCTACCTATCTGGGCTTTAATCACACATTTCTCAACAAGGCCAGAGATCTAATCTCACAGCCTTGTAACATGCCTCCGAATCAAAGATCATTCTGCTGGTTACCGCTAGACAAAAAGCATTACAGTAGAGCTTTTACAGACTGGCATCAAAATACATATATATTCATAATAAAATGGATTAATAATACATGACATGATTAATATCATGTGAAATTAATACTATATATATTAGATATATTGTTCGGTCATGAGGTTCATCTATAGGTCAACTTTAGTTCAGGGCCAACTGTTCAGGCCTCAGCACTTCATGGTGACACAAAAAGTCCAAGATTGACATTTATGTTCAAAAGCTGTCTTCCTGTAACAAGAATCTGCTTGGTACAATAAAATATATTTTATCAGTACTAAAAATGAAGTGAAAAAATACAGAAAGCAAATACCAGTTCTTGTAATCATGAAAAATGGCAGCTGTTGAGGAGGGGCGGCAAGGGTGCTTCACTTCACATTCCCACCTCAGACAGTTTCATAATCCAACACATTCACAGATAAACCAGAAAATTCTGCATTACTGAAGAAGCTACAGCCTTGTACTTTTTGTATATACCACATGAAATTCCTGTTAATTGCCTCTAGCTTTGTTTTGGAGAAGAACTTACCTGTCATGCAGAAGCAAGAACTAATCTTCCCTTCTAGGAGAGGCTCCAGCCACTCTTTCTTCTGCTCCGCAGTCCCATACATGTGCAGTACCTCCATGTTTCCCGTGTCTGCAAGAAATCAGCCACCATGGTTACGTCTCAACACACGCTGCTCGTACGGCGCAAGACCTCCAACTTCGTCATGCTCTCCGCATTGCGGTTGAGAATGGGGCTGCTGACCCGGGGCCTGACAGTTGAAAACCTCCGGAGCAAAGAAGCATTTCCCCGTCTCCTCAGCTATGAGTGCATAGTCCAGCTGGCTGAGACCACTGACATCTGGTAGAAAAAGGTTCCACAGACCTTCTGCTTTTGCAATTTCCTATCAAGAGAAACAACAGCAACAAGTCTTATTAAAAAAAATTAAATTCTGGCTTGCTGCCCATTTTCTTCTTTCCTGTCATTTAATTTATCTGAAGCCTTTTTGAGTAGCTATTGTCAGTAGGTAAAGTCTTTAAGTTCAGCCTTGTCCCTCACAAAACTCGCTTTTGCTCCTCTCCTCTCTCATTCACATTTCTCCCCTCCTTTCACACATCTCCTCCTTCCCTTATTTTCACTGCTCCTCAGTTTCTCTCCACACGGAGTAACTTCTCCAGTGGGATACATCAAACACTCTTATGCTGTGTCTTACTCCTGCAGTGCTCAACAGTATCTACTATACCCTACCTTCAGTCTCTCAAGCACCGGTGGTTTCTGCCATTTTGCCTCGGTGCTTCTATTTCCAGCATAGTAGTGTATTATTTCCTTAGAGAAACAATTAATTAAATTAAATTACTGTTTACATAAAGAACACATGTAACATACAGAAGTAAGCATATGATGTCTTTTCCAGCCCTATGCCCAAGAAACCAATAAAAAAGTTAAACAGACATAGTTGGTTGCACTATAAACACATAATTGAGAAATCAAACTGCAATCTATTGATTTCAGAAGACATTAAACACATTGCTGAGATAATCCAATCGGTATCTTATTTCACACAAAAAAAAAATTGGTGGTTTAAAGTACGTGATGACGGCAGAAGCTCACTGTTTTGTGGTGATACAAGTAACTGTTACCAACAGCGCACACAACAGGCACAAACCTAAAAATGAAAACAAATACAAGCCTGATGTACTGACACTTAAAATTCAGGTCTCCCACCAAAGCACTCAGATATAAGCCATTCAATTTTTTTTAAAACCAAAGGGGAAAAAAAACCCAAACCAACACAAATACCAAAACACGAAGAACACATTTGTTTCTTGTAAAAATCATTTCTTAACAGATGACACAGCAGACTTTTCAAGCAGTAGCGCCTGAAGTAACACCACACACTCAGTAATCCCAGCCTTTTCACCAGCACGTTTTAACAAGACACAGCACTTCAAAGCTGGCCCAGAACTAGTTTTAGGACACACAATAAGACAAATTTTGAAGCTGAATTAACAAGTCTTGATTCACAACCTCCATTACCAGAAATAACTTACAAGCACAGCATCATTCATCTGCAAGACTTGCACAGTGATCTGTGGTTCATTTGTTTTCAAAGCAAGTACCATAATTATTGCAAGGTTTCCTTGGACAAGTTGAAACTTTGCATGCCAAGAGTTCCTGCTCCCAACCCCTCCCTGCGATCGGCAGATGCATCGATAAATCTTTTAGACTAACGTGTTTACTGCATTTCTGCCTGACTACAAAAAAAAAAAACACAAAAAAACCCTTATTCTGCAACAAGTCATTTGTACTTCCATGAGGCTAAAAGTTCAGTCAACTTTCGAAGTGCAGCATTTCTATTCTGCCTAGTCTAAGCAGTAAAATGCTTCATTGCACTTACCCTTCCACTAATTCAGGATTTCTGGGGATATTTCATTATCTGATTTCAAACCTTCACCAGAATTAAATATATTCAGGAATAAGGCTACATTGATACATTAAGAAATCTGTTTTTTGTCATAAAACACACACCTTAAGAAACTAGGCAGGCAACAGAAACATCCAACTTCATATAGTTATTCACAGCAGTTTCCTTTTTTAACTGTCTTTGTTTAGTACATAAGACTTTCAGGGTTCTGTTACCGTTAAAAGCATTGAGAAATATCTTTTAAAATAATAACTCCTTAAAAAGAGCAGTTCTTAAACTTTAAAAAGTTCAAAAAAGAGCTCTTAACTATCATTAACAACACATACAATATTTTAATTCAGAAAAACAAACAATGCAGACTGCGATGGTCTCTGTTAGTATTTCGTAACGCCACAGATATCACTACATGAAAATAAAGCTGTTTTGGAAAAAAACGGGAGGACATGACCTGTATACATAGTGTTATATTTTATAAACTCTAGTGATAACATGTTTGTTTATAAACAGGATTACTAAAAGCTTTTACCTTCTCAGCTGGATATACGTGCTGCTTCATGAACTGCTTGACCTTCAGCAAAATTTCCTGGCCTTTCCTACTTGGAGGGAAGAGCTCTCCAGCCACGCTGGGATGTGTGCTGCTGAAACATGACCTAGAGAAGAACATCAAGGCAATAACAAGACCAACCAGATTTTCCCTCATGGAAAGATAAGCTGCCCCATGCAGGCATTTAAGTAAGCAAAGACATTGCAGAAGCTCGGTCTAAACCACTGGTCACAACAAAGCTCTTACCTTTTTGAGAGCTCTAACCCTGTCTCTGCCAAAGGCTTCACAATCTTGACAAACTCATGACTGTTCTCTGCAGAAGCATTTCCAATGAGGTATCTAGCATATATACCCTAAAACCAAAAGAGAGACACTTATAGTATAGTGATGCACTTAAACTTGTCTCTTTAACAGATCGGAGATTTCTTCAACTATGAAAGTAACACTTAAATGCACATATTCTTAAAAAGAAACAGTTAGCACCCAGACTGGCACATGTTCACATTGTTTTGGTCCATTACTGATATAACAGAGACCATGTACAAGAAAAACAAAACTAATATAAAAATAAATTCCCCAGCTAAACCAAAAGACAAATCACAAAAAGCAGTACAGAGGGGGGAAAAAAAAAAAAAGGCTGTTCACAACGCTGCAAGCAATCCCAGCCTGTCCCGTAAGCCAACTGACAACAGAACACACGTATGATTGCCATCTATAGCTAAACTCACTACCCACATACACATGTTTACACCTGGTTCATACCAGGTAGCTTGTCCCACACATTTGCTATACTGATCTCACGGCGCAACTTGTGAAAATACGCTTGTGCCCTACAATGGCTAAATATCTAGTTAAACAGTTACTTCTGTTAGTAATGAATCGAGGGAACTTATTTTCTCCTACAATCACATCTCGAGATCAGCCTCCCGTGCTCACAACAAACCCTTTTGCAGCTGGGGGTGGCACCAACAGGATCTCACTCACCAATCCAGCTGCCTGCTTTCCTGAGAGCTGCACAAACTTAAAAAGGTCTCGGTTTCTCACTAATACAGGATTTAAATTAGCCAGAGTGCAAAAAGGTAATAACAAAATTGCTTGCATACTGGAACTTCAATAAGAGAAAAACCCTATTTTCCTCATTTTTTTAGCCTACTTTCCTAACAAATCACCTACATCTAACACCATGTACTCTATCTAGAAACAACTCTGTGCTAGTTATGTCATAAGCATCTAAGATACCACTTCTAAAGGAATAAATTAAAATTCAACCATTCTGGTTATTTTTAAATATTAATGTTTTCAACAAATATTACCAACTACAGATACTATATGTGACACTTCAGCAAATACGAGTGTATTACCTGGGCTATTGCTGCCATTTTAAAATACGACAAAGCAAGAAAAAAATTGAAGTTGGATAAAGTAGTGCTAATACCCCGGCAGCGGCAGTAAACAGAAACCAGTTCTTCAAATGAAGGAGTTTCTACAATAACAAACAGAATATTTTAGAATGCACAACATTTTCTACAATTTTTCCAGCTTATTTTTCAAACACTTGAACAGCTTTTCATGGTATTCCAAATTTACACAGCAAAAACCATGATCTACCAGTTCTCATGACCTAGGTATGATATGGAATGCCAAAAGAAAATCGGAGTTGTCGGCATTTCAGATGAGCACAACACCTCCTGCTGCCCCTCACCTCCACTCCAGTCAGGAAATTCATTTCGCCATGAGGTGGGACAGGGGGATGTTTTGCCAATTGATGGGGTCAACAGAAAGGACACAGACATAAACAAAAGAGGAGGCTTACCTCACTCTCTGTTTCCCAGTATTACAAGAATAAGGCAGTGCATTTAGTTAAAACAATAAGCTTACTATATTCCAGTTTTAAGCTGCAAGGAGAATAAGCAGGGTAATGCACTTAATCATTGCTGCCTAACGTTAGCGATAGTGATTAAGATCCATCCCCAATTGTCCTAATACTTGACCTTCATCCAGACCCGGCTGCAACGGTCCTACACAGTGAGTCCACTCACAGGGCAGAGTCCAGCTTTTATACTCTTGAATAAACAAGCTCACATCACTTCAGATGCAGGAACATCTGATGGCACCCTCTCGGCTGGATTCCACCCAAAGTCTGGCCAGGGCTAAAGGAGGAATCCAAGGGAGTTTCTCTACCTCTTTGAGCGCTAATTAAATATTTTTCAACAAGGTCAGACATTGGTCTCATGGCCTTGCATCATAAATAAAAATAAATAAAGATCATTCTACTGATTACCACTATACAATAAGCACTACAGCAAAGCTTTTGTAGATTAGTCTCACAATATATTTATTCATACTAAAATAGATCTATAATATATTATATATGCAATTAACACTATATGCAACTAATGCCATATATATTGGATACAGTGTTCTGAGGTTCATCTATAGCTCAGCTTTAGTTCAGGGCCTACTGTTCAGGCCCCAGTATGTCAGGGAGGCAGATTTTCTTTTTCTTTTTAACTTCTAAAATTACATTTATATTTCAGTTTTCCATTATCTCTAAGAAAGGTTCAGCAACTTTTACAGAAGTAGCATACTGTGGCCAAACCACAGCTTATTAAAGCAGAACGACCTTAAACCTTGCTATCAGCTTGTTTCCTACAATAAGACAACTATGGGAAAGTTCTTTTCAAGTGCAAAATTATGTGCTTATCAATTTACCTCTTTTATGGTTTATAAAGGTAACATATCAAATAGAAATCAACCCTAGAATTAATTTCAGCAAGATAAAACTTTAATACCTATGGTGTTTTTGAAAGCCAGGGGAGTTCCTTGACTCAAGTCCTTCACAGATGCAGGCCAGAAGTAGAAGAGAGTGGTGTATGCTAAGTCTGCTAAAGGGTGTCCAACAGTTGAAAGTTCCCAGTCCAGCACGGCCAAAACACGAGCCTTAAATAAAAGCAAAAGCCTCAAGTGAATGTCAAAAACATAAGTTATGTCCATCCACAGATGAACAACCCACTTAACGTTCAACAGTTTAGTTACACTGTGTTTAAAATTAAAACCACACAAAGCTACAGCAAAATCATCTCCTCTTAGCACTATGCAAGGACCTGCAGAAAACTAACATTCACATAGTGGCAGAATACCAAGCACTTCTCTAATGAAAATCTGTTTTAACTTCTATATTATTGAGTAGCATTCTTCCTGTCTGAAACTTCTAAACTCTTCTTCTCAAAATGTGATAGAATTAAAAAGATCCTAAAGAACAGCAGCATTGACAGCTGCACTTTTTGTCCTGTTGGCACAGACACTCTTTACAGTCCTTTTGCACAGCTGCTCATAGACAGAGCACACACTAAAATAACATCTAATTTATAACAATACTATGCACAGATTAACATACTCACATAAGGAACAGAATTTCTTAAATAGGACAGTCAGTCAGTGCCCAAATCGTGACATGAGCCACTGTCCATCACCCTCCAGCCGACTTGTGATCCACAGACACTCAAATCATGTGCAGAGGACTTTTCTACATGGTCAGTCACACATATACAGGAACAACTTCTAAAAGTTATTTAGAATGACCTATGTACAGCTTGGTCCATTCTTTCGCCTACTCCAGCAACAGTCAAGAGAGATTCTCTGCTCAGAGAATCAGCACATTTAAGCCTACAAATGCTGTCTGCCAACTCATCTCTGCACAACACTGGGTCTCTCTAGGATCTGCCGCTTTGCTGTGAAGCAGGCATTGGAAAGTCTTGGTTGTAAATCCCAGACATCTCCTGGTCCCAGTGCAGCAAATAGCATGGTAAAACACAATGAAAATGCAATTGTGTCGATACATAGATTGCACATTTATTTCTACAAACTAGAAAATAATATTTTCCTTCTCCCTAAAGATGAATGAGGAACCTCCACAGTCTCTGTGATCCATGTGTACTTCATAACTAAGCAGCTTTGGCAGATTTTAATTTGATTCCACTAGTATCACATATTACACATTCAGATCCTATTCCAAAATCCCCTGTAGGTAACTGAAGCCATATCATAAATTCCAACGGGCTTTGGATCAGGTGCTTATGTAGTTTAATGAAGTGAGCCTTCAGTATGTGGTCCTTAAGTTGCACCAAATTCAGTAAAGTTTATGCATATAAAATGTTCTGTTCTTGGACTTTGAAGGAGGGAAAAGAGCTAATAAGTTAATTAGCTCCTGTGCTGAAAACAAGGTCTGTATTCAGTACCTCAACTCCATACACAGCAGACAGAAAGGAACAGTAGAGAACCTAATTCTTCTCCAAGATGTATCAGGCACTAACACTCCCACATCAGTGTTTCATTACAGGGTAAGAGCACAAACAAACAGAGGAGCAAAAACTACCCAGTACACACAAATACGTTTTGAATACCTCTGTTGGGTGGAAGATGATATTATCTATTCTGAAGTCCCCATGAATCAGACTTTCTTCAGTATCACCAGGTGGCAGGTTGTTTGCCAGCCACTCGGCCAGCTTGTTCACTGCAGGAATATCTGTATGAGCCGATGCATCGTACTGCCTTTTCCAAGTTGATACCTAAAGAAATACAAACACTTCAACAGATTTTCCAAGTGACTCTCAAGTTCTTCAAGAGTATAAAATTCCAAAGAACATGTTTTGATTACTACTACATTACCTGTACAACTCAGTAACACACAATACCTTTGCATTTGCAAATGTAAACTGTGAGACCGAAAGATGCAGACTATCTCCATTTCCCATTGCAATCATATTTGCACAGCCCAAATCTAAAGTTATTTCAAAACCAAACTAATCATTCCAATTACAGGCCTGAACTGAATATAGCAGTAAACATTTGCTTAGTTCAGTTTACTGTGCACAGCGTAAGGTGCTTAACAGCTAAAATACAATAGTTACTTTTACAAGTTATCAATAGTTAATTTAGCTTGCAAATCAAATAAATCTTCAAAGACATGAGAGAACAAGAGAATTTTTTTTGAAGAGCTGTACCTGTCTTCTGCAGTATCCTGGTCCTTTACCATACCCTTGGAGACCCAGTGACCGTAAGTCAAAGGAGTGCAACTGGGCCAAGGTCTCGATCATCGCAATGTACAAAGCGGAACGCTCAGCCGGCCCCACTTCACACAGTGAGAGGTCTCGGAAGATGCGACCCTGCAAACATCATAAATCAGGTGCTGGGTGGGACATACGCATCACATAGAGAGAAACAAAGCTACACATTTCAGGACCAAAAAACAAATGTCATGAACCAGTGCTACCCATGCAATCAAAAATTCCTTCCTCATTTATTTTGTTCCTTGCCCAGGATATGTAAGGGATTAACAGGGATATCAGACCATTAGCATATCCTATACCTATTGGAAGGCAAGTAAAATAACTGATCTATTCAGCAGCTGAACTGGAGCACTCAACCCCAACACCCTCAAGCCTGAAAACACCAAGAAAGAAAAAAGTGACTGTATTGTCTCTAACAGTGTTTTGCCAATCAACAAGGTGAACAGAAAGGACACGGGCACAAACAAAAGAGGAGGCTTATTTGACTGTCTATTTCAAGGTATTACAAAAATAAGGCAATGCATTTAGTTAAAACAATAAGCTTATTATACTCTAGTTTTAAGCTGCAAGGAGAATAAGCAGGGTAATGCACCTAATCATTACTGCCTAAAGTTAGCGATAGTGATTAAGAAAGATCCATCACCGGTTGCCATAATATTTGACCCTCATCCAGACCCACAGTCACTGGGGAATCCCGCTTGCAAGCAAGGATTTGGAGCACCTCTCCCAGCAACTGGGAGGTCCTACGCAGTGCATCCACTCGTAGGTGGGGGCTCCAGAGTCACTGCAAGAGGGTCCAGCTTTTACACCTTTGAATAAACAAGCTTGCATCACTTCAGATGCAGGAACACCTGGTGTCACCCTCCCAGTTGGCTTCCACCCAAAGCCTGGCCAGGGCTGAAGAAGGAATCTCTGCCTATGTTGGTCCAAGAGTTTACCTATTTGGGTTTTAATCAATTTATTTCTCAACAAGGCCAGACACCTGGTCTCATAGCCTTGCACCATCCCTCTAAATAAAGAAAATTCATTCTGCTGGTTACCGTTACACAAAAAGCATCACAGTAAAGCATTTATATATTGGCATCACTATATATATATGAATACTAAAATAGATCAGTAATAGAATCGTAGAATCTTAGAATGTTAGGGCTTGGAAGGGACCTCTAGAGATCATCTAGTCCAAACCCCTCCACCCGCCAGAGCAGGATCCCCTAGGGCAGCCACACAGGAACGCGTTCAGGTGGGTTTTGAAAGTCTCCAGAGAGGGAGACTCCACAACCTCTCTGGGCAGCCTGTGCCCAGGGCTCTGGCACCCTCACAGCAAAGAAGTTTCTCCTCGCATTGAGGTGGAACTTCTTATGTTCTCACTTAAACCTATTATTTCTTGTTCTGTTGCTGGGCACGACTGAGAAGAGATTGTCTCCTTCCTCTTGACACCCATCCCTCATATTTACATATATTAATAAGATCCCCTCTCAGTTGTCTTCTTTCAAAGCTAAATAGCCCCAGTTTTCTCAGGCTCTCTTCATAGAGAGATCTTCAAGTCCCTTAATCATCCTCATAGCTCTCCGTTGGACTCTGCAGTAGGTGTGATTAATACTATATATTAGATATACTGTCAGGTTCTGAGCTTTGTCCATAGCTCAAGTTTAGCTCAGGGCTTACTGTTCAGGCCTCAGCACTTCAAATAGCTACTTCCTGAAAAAATATCAATGAAGACAATGGGGGAGAGAGGGAAATGGATAAGTTATATGTATAAATTAGCAAACAATCCAAAGAAGTTAACTTGCATTCTCCTTAAAGCAATTTAATACATTTAATACATTTAAATACATTTAATACATTTAAAGCAATTTAATACATTTTCCCACGTCCTCCCTCAGTTTTGACCCTGCCAGTAACAGACTGGCAAAGAAGAAACAGATTCTTCTCTCTTCCAGGTTCCTCAAGTTCATTAGTTGTATTGGGTTGGCCTTGGCCGGATTCTGGCGGCAGGGGGGGAGCTGCAGGGTGGCTTCTTACAAGAAGCTGCTAGAAGCTTCCTGAGTTTGATGGAGCCAATGCCAGGCAGCTCCAAGGAGGGACCTGCCGCTGGCCAAGGCTGAGCCTGTCAGTAAAATGATAGTGTTGCGATATTCAAAGGGAAGGTGGCAAAAACGACAGAACTTATCTACACGTAGATAAGCAGGCACTTCTTTACTGCAGCGCTGGGAAGCTTGGAAATCACCCAATGCTTCAAATACATCACCAAAATTCAGCCTATTTATACACTTTTTGTGCAAAGTCATGATCTTTAACATATTTTAACATAACCATGCATACTATGCTCACTATTAATTTTGACATTTAGAATGACTGGTTTAGCCCTTATTAATATTCTTATATCAATACGATTATTGGTTATTCTGTTGATTACAACTCCTGATATACAAATTAAGGTGAGATATGCGATGTTTCTATGTTATTATCACAAAATATAAGATAAAAAAGGTAGGGAGGTAAGTTCAGAACATTCCAGGGAGGTAGGGAGGCAGGCAAAAAACATCCCCAGGGAGGAAGGGAGACAAGCATGGAACATTACCTGTCAGTTTTGCAACTAGTACCAGCTTTACTTCTAGCCAAGGCCTACACACTATTTCTTAGCATAAGTAAGGTTTTTTTAAGGTTTTATATTCCTTATCCTAATACAAGTCAATAAACTTCTTTGATTAAAATGGTGATTAATTAAAATGGTAATTAGTTATTCATTAGCTCCTTAAAACTTAAATTT